AAGGGAAGGGAAGGGAAGGGAAGGGAAGGGAAGGGAAGGGAAGGGAAGGGAAATCAATAAAAAATACTTGCATTTACTTTGTTTTCATTTGTGTCCTGTGCACAAAAGGGAAGCTCCTTCTAAAAGGGTTGTATGTTCAGAAACAGAAATGATACCTCTAGGATGTGAGATAAATGTGATGAAGACCATGAAGCTAAATTAAAGAAGAAATAGATATGGTTGTTACTGTTGTCCCCAGCAGGAAAGAAATGTCCATCTAGGATACAGATGTGGGGATGTAGACCTGGCTTTAGCAGTGGCAGGATTCATTTTAACTAGGAAGGCTAGGGAAGGGGGCAAGGGTTTCTGGTCGAAGACTGAGCAAAATCCAAAGATATGGATGACGACATTGACTTCTGCTTAGAAGAAGTGCCAAGGAAGAGAAGAAGAAGCTGAAGTTGCTGTATTTGAGGCAGGGGGGTGTGCCTTGGAATCCAGATACCCTCTTTGTGAGATTGTCTTACCTCCTTTAAAACAACCAGACAAACAGAAGAGGCTTGGTTTCTCTCTCTCACGTTGTTCAGCTAGCAACTTCAAAAAGGATGTGTCAAAAGTGGTGAAATTGCTTTGGCAGACAGTAAGCCCAGGTCTAAGTTAAACTCTGACAGCTAAAGCTGAGGTAAGGCAAAAAGAGGAAATCTGTTGGGGGCATGTGGGGGGTTATCTTAACTCCTTTATTTGATTTCTGTTCAACGCTGGATTAAAAAAAAAATCTTAGCATCTAACATTTAAAAACCTGGAAAATACATGACTGCAGTTTCCTAAATACTGACAAAGTGCAACCAAAGCGCAACTCCGGAAGAAGCCCATTCCACACACTGGGAGCAGTGCAGGAGAAAGCCTTTTCCTGCATGCCAGAAAGACTGGCCCCCAGCAGTCAGGGCATCTTCAGTGGGCCTGACTTGGAGACCTTAACAACTGGGCAGGCTCCTAAAGAAGAGGTGATCCCTTAGATGCTCAGGCCCTAAAACGCTGAAGGTTCTAAAAACATCCACACTTATATTGTACCTGAAAAGCAACTAGGAAGTAGTGAAGATCTGTCAGAATAAGTATCATATGATCATATGCCACAGTTTGCACTTCCAGATGTTTTTCAAGAGAAGCCCCACGTGAGAGGCATCTCGGTAGTCCAAAGGAACATAGCCAAGGTGTGGATCTCCACTGCTATAATCAACAAATTTGGGGAGGGGCACGGCTGGTGCGCTAGATATCACTGTCTGAATAACAAATTTCACATACAATAAGAAATTGCACATTGAGTGAATGATAAATTAAACATTCACCAAACATGATAAATGTCACTTCTTGTTGTTCATATTTCCAACATAAATTTGAAGTGCCTTTATACATTCTAAACAATTTCTCTGGTGACATATACCAGCGGTACATCATTTTGTAAGATTCTTTTTAAGATTATAACATAATGTAAATTTCAACTCTTTCAACTGCATATTTTCCTATTGCTCCATCTGTATATTATAACCAACATTTTTAGCCCACTTGATCACACATTCTTTCACTTGGTCTTCTTCTGTTTCAAATTTCAATAAAAGTTTATACATTTTATCAATTACATGCTCATCATTTATACACAATTCTGTTTCAAACTCAGACTTACAATGTTCAAAACCATACTTTTTTTCTACTTTAAATCTTTCTAATAATTTTAAATAAGAGAACCATTGACAACTATATCCCTCTGCCATCACTTTTCACCAGTTTCAAAGATTTTGAAAGTTGTGAAGCTTTAGTCAAAGATTTATTTATAATTGTGAATGGAATTTCATTTCAGGTGGAATCACGTTTGGGCAATAAATTGCTGGTCAGAACAAAGAGAAATTCTGAAGGCAGTGTGAGGGTGTAAACATTCCAGGGATATCTTTTTATGGGAACTAATGATTAGAAGCTGATTAGAAATATGAAACCAACCAGAACTCAGGGCAAAAACATTAATCCAACTAAGCCTTGACAAAGCCAAGGGAATGAGTGGAAAAACTAGTTCTGAGAGCAAAAGTTTTTGGGACAAAGAAGCAGATCCATTCATGGACAGAGAGAAAGGTTATCCTCACTGGATAGGTTATTCTCGGATCTAATATTGTTTCCTAGGGAAACTGAGATTGTTTGAAGAAGGGCTCAAATAAATATCTGCTGCTTTCATCTGTATTCTGCTTTGCTTTCTCACCTCTTACGTGTCCCAAGAGTTTTCACAAAAGATGTTAACCCTGGATGTGACAAGTGCAGCCTGGGAATTGCATGTGGTCCACCAGAATCCCTTTTGCCTCCTCAAATTTTTGACCCCTTTTTCCATTTTGGGGAATTGGGGAGGGTTAAAAGCCAT